GTAGCCCCGCCAGCCGCCGTGAGTCATAGCCTTGGAATCCCACCTTGGCATGTATTTCCCATAGAAGGAAACTTGGTTTTTAGGAGAGCGAATAATCATAGCCCTTATTCTTCAGGAGAGGCACTGGGCTCCAGTACCTTGGAAGACTACTTGCCTTTGTTCCCAGACACTTGGGCTGTTTACTTTTCCCTGCGGCCTGCCGCTAGCCGGACGATGCCCTCTGTCCCGGAAAGGGGCTTAAGGGCATGGCACCAGTCTCCAGGGTGCGCCTGTGTTAGACCCTGGGTAAGGGACCCGTCACACCTCAGCACCCCACCTTGGGCCTGGGCTGAGAAAGCTGACCTTAAACCTCCCAATGGGGAACCGCTAACTGCCTTAGTCCCCCACACCTGCATTCCCAGCCCCAACACCGGACCTAGAGCTCTTAGTCTCCTGGAACCACTGCTGGCCAGTGCACTTCCTAAGGCACAACAGGGACCTGCAAAAAGCACCTGTCAGGTTATGAGTGCTGAAGCGTTTTGTTCTAACCATCCAGTCCCTACCTCCACCATTGGGCGAATCGGACAAACTATTGAGACCCTATTTAGGACCGTTTGGAGCCAGTGGGTGAGGAAATCTCTTGGCTCCCCAGGACAGAGCTCTGCAGTTCTCTGGACCACTCTGGATCCCAGTGGCCCCCCATGTTATCCAGGGTTGGACCCTGTCTTCCAGCTGCCTAGATGCTCCTTAATAAAACGTTCTGTCATTCCCAGTGTCAGGAAGGTGAGGGATGATCCTTCTGTCTTGCTGTTTTCTGTCCGATAGCCCTTATAAGATTCCTGACACCTCCAAACCGCACACAGCAGCCACTCCTTTTAGCACCATAATGGCTTCGTCCGGAAAAAAAAGCCAAATGGTATAGAAATGCCTGTGAGAGGAGCACTCCATAGAAACACTGACACTTAGCCTTCAGCCTTGTGAAGGTGCTGGGGCGAGGGGCGGGGGTCATTCCACAGTATCACCCCAGTGACCAAACAGTGGTATAGCAGCCTGAGGGCTACAAGCAAGTGCATTGTCACTCTCATTTGTAATCCACTCATTTCTGATCTTAAACAAAATCTCTATCCTATACATCACTGTGGCTGCATTTCATATTAATAGCCTGAACTCGTGAACTTGGACTTCTGGATTCCATAGCAGAATCCATAGCTAAACATGGATGCCTAGCACTGCACAGTCCCGTGTCTCATAAACACTACGCTTGCCTCCCTAATTAGTTAACATCAGTGTCAGTTCTAAGTAGACCAGGAAGGCTCAGTTGCAGACTCTCCCCCCCAAAAAAAATCGTCCCAGCTCATTCATGTTTTATCCCAACTTAAATAAATCACTTGTAGAAACCCAGCCTCTCCCATTTAGGATCTTGTGTGTAACAGTTTTCAATTTGAAAAAGAAAAACTTGCTGAAATTGGATGTTATAAACAAAAGAAACAGCCATGCTAAAAACTATTATGCCACATTTCAAGTTCAAATGCATTAACGATGGAATTTCATATGTTGTGAACAATGCTAACAAATAGAAGCCCTGAGAGTCTTAACAACAGAAAAGCTGCTCCTCAAGTCATTAGAATATAAACAAACCCTGACTACGGTAAAGCAGCCCAGGGCCCATTAATGTCCTATTAAGCAAAGGTAATTGCTGCCAGGAGCCTGCTGGCAGGGCTTCTCTTTCTTTAGGGGCATGGGTTTGTCAACCTGCTTTTGTTTATGTGTAATAAAAGTTCCAACAGGCAAAGGTTTGGGTCCTCTTCTTAGAATCCCCCCCAAGTGAATGTGAATTTCAAGCTGTCTGTCAGAGAGGGCAGTGATCTTATCCCCAGTGTGTATTTTCTGGATATAGGTGTCTTTTAGACCAGGTTAAGAAATTGGTGAGTGGTTCAGTGATTTTGTGTTTGGCTGAGGAGTTTGGGGAGTGGGGGGAAGAGACTAAAGGGCTGAGTTTGTAAAATGAATAAAGACAAAATTTCTTTGTTGATGACTGAAAGAGCAAAATAAATGACATCTCCCACCATTTCTTGATAGAGAATTATTTTACTCACACTCACACAACACAACGAACATTCTGCACACACATCCTCTTTCCCTAAGGCATTTCTGGTATCTCTTTGGAAAGAAAAATGGAAGAGAAGACTCCAAAGCCCAAGTCAGCTAGACCCCAGTTCTACACATGGAGTAGAGACCCAGTCCCTGTGTAATACAGGACTGATGCTGAATTCAAAAATACAGGTGCCTGGTGAAGACAGACTGCTGCCAATAGTTGCTCTGGTAGCCAGAGGACTTACTACCTTTTGAAGCCAAGATCTCTCCTTCCCTCCAGAAGGGCACTTAAGTGTCATAGCATGTGGGGGATAATGCTGTCCATGAGACAGTGACAAGTCCACTCTTGCCCTAGCCTGAAGGCAAAAGAATAAACTGGGCCCTTGCTATACCAGAAAGAAAATCCATCTTCAGCAAGCAGGCCTGACGTCACTTCAGTGACAGGTCCTTAGAACACAAGTGAGTCACCTGTGCAGGTCTGGATATCCTACAGCAGTGATTCTCAGCCTTTGGGTAATGACCCCTTTGGTAGTCAGTCTTTCACAGGGGTCACCTAAGACCTTCAGAGGACAGATACTGACAATGTAATTCATAACAGTAGCAAAATTACAGTTACCAAGTAGTGATGAGATAATTTTATGGTTGGGGCGGTCACCCCAGCATGAAGACCTGGTTAAAGGGTTGCAGAGTTAGGAGGGTTGAGAACTCCTGTCTGAAAGGACCCAGGAATCGGAGTTGCTGGGTCTGCTCCCTGGCCCCAGACTCCCTTTCTCCCTGGAACATACTCTTGACCCTATTCTGAGGGTCACCACTGAGCCCCATGGAGGTGGCCTCATAGCCTGGATTACACAGGGTCAGAGTCTGGGAGGCCAAGCAGAGCTTCTGAGGCCAGGCTGGCTCCCAGCGTCCTAAGGTCTGGGTGGGAACCAGAGAGGAGGGCAGACGGCAATGTGTTGACTCTTGGAAAGTTCCTGCCTGGTATCTGGCTTTACAGTTTAAAGAGTTGCTGGCTGCCTCTGCCCAGAGCCCTGGCTCCTGTTTAATATTCTGCTGCCTGGTTAGTGTTGGGCTTGGCTCCTGTGGGGCTGCAACTCACGGCTGGAAACGGGAGCCAATTTTCTGTCTTCATCTCACAGTGTTGTGACTGGAGGCAGACCCAGTTCAGGCCGACAAGGGCTGTGGAAACAACTGCCGAGTGTCTGCCTGCTTCACCCCGGGAGGAGAGAGTGTGGCCGAGGAACTGGGAGGAGAGACAAGTGCTGGAAGGACCCTAGGACTTCTGTCCTGCCCCTGTCCCCCTCCCCCATTGACAGCAGATTTTATCAAAGGGGACTCCTAGAGGCTTGAATAGAAAATTGATTTCACCTTATTAATAGAAGGGAAGCACAGGGCTTCTAGCCCTTCCTCTTAGAGGTGCGTTCGTAAGATCGGGAGGAAAATGTATTTAGGATACAGAGCAGCTGTCTGAGAGGGGCTGAGCGGATCCGAGAACAATAAGAGTGGGCTCTAAAGATCCGCCCTGAGATGCAGGCTGCCATTTGCAGTAGCTAAGCTGAGAGCAGCAAGAGTTTGCTGAGGTGTCCTGGGAAAGGTAGTCTGACGGTTTGGTATGAAGGGAAAGGAGAGGAACTGAAAGCCTTCCCAAGTACCAGAGACCATCATCCTCAGGCTGGCTCCTAACCCAGGCTGTATATCTCTCCAACTCACCCACCCCTTCTTTTCCAGGTCTAAGGCTGTCAGAGATGACGCTGGTTCTGTCCATGAATAGATTCTGCGAGCCCATTGTCTCAGAAGGAGCTGCTGAAATTGCTGGGTACCAAACGCTATGGGAGGCTGACAGCTACAGAGGTGTGAGCCCCCCAGGGCCAGCACAGCTTCCTTTGCAGGGAGACCGAGGAGCCAGCCCTCAACTGGCAGGTATTGCCTTTGGCCTTCTCCTTAGGAGGTGGTGTTCAGTCAGGCTGGGCTCCTTGGGAAATCCTACTTAACTTGCTCTACAGTCCATCTGCTGTGGACATCCTGGAGCAGTGGGTTTTTGGTTTTTTGTTTGTTTTTTAAGGGTCTGAACCAGATACTGAAAGTTTGGATTCAGGCTTTGTGTCCTTGGGAAGTGAATGGTCCTCGGGGATGTACACATCACAGGGCCCACAAGCAGAGCTTCTGCCCCACCAGGCATAAAGAAGTCTGCACCCTTACCACAGCTTCAAGCTGCTCTTCTTCATGAAGCACACAGTTGATAAGAAAATAGAAATATATTCTTCTGGGCTTTAATTCTAATAGTCTCACATAAGTTCCTTTGAGTGTTTATAAAGCGATAGTTTTTTTTTTTCCTTTTAAAAAGAAACTGAAATGAAAGCTTCATGAAAGTCTAGTTTCTGAAAAGGTTTTAAAGTCCTCAAAGGAGGCCCTGCTGTATTCATGGTTGACGTGTTAACACTACCAGAGTGAAACAGCATTTAATCACTCCAAATGTTAAGCTTCCATATGTAACTTCGTATCTTAAAAGAAAAGCTATTATAACTCCATGTATGTATGCATTTGTTTACTAACCCTGAAATCAATTCGTACCCATGATTTACTACCTCTGTGAGGTGGGGTCTGAGTCAATGCTGGTATTGCTTTGGACAGGGTCTCTCTCTCTCTCTCTCTCTCTCTCTCTCTCTCTCTCTCACACACACACACACACACACACCACACACCACCACCACCACCACCACCACCACCACCACCACCACCACCACCACCACCACCACCACCACCACCACCACCACCACCACCACCACCACCACCACCAACGCCATCCATGAATTCCGCTGTTTGCCTGTACAGAGAGTTAAGATCCCAGGCATTTAGTAAATGCTGAAAGGTGGGTGACATTTTCCTCTGATGTGGCCTGGAAATCTTTACCTTCCCAGACTCACAGGATTCAGTCCGCTGGTAGCTGCAACTATGAAGACAAATGTTTGTTTTTCATCACTGCGTATACAGTCAGGGATGTAGCCAAGTTATCCACTCCAGGGAAAGGAAATGAAAGCATTTTGCTTGGAGAACCGCTGGCAGGCTTCGTGTCATTTGTCTATCTGATTTATTACTGCAGGATCACATTACAGGGGAATTCCAAATCCTATAAGCACATCCAAGGTCACATATTTCAAGAGGAAGTACACAGAAGAGGAGGATTCTCACCCAACACTCAGCAGCTGCAGCCGTAAAGTATGTTTAAACAGCAGTTACTTTATTAACAGTTACAATGTCTTGTGGCACTGGCTTGAACCATTTCCAGACATTAAATTGTCCCACCCAAGCAACAGAAGAGAGCCACTTCTTTATGGGACTACATGAATCACTGTCACTTTGGTGGGGGGAACCTGTACTGGATAGCACTAAGTCAATTTGTCACAAGCTAAAGTCATCTGAGAGGAGGGAAGCTCCATTGAGAAAATGCCTCCGTAAGATCAGGCTGTGGGCAAGCCTGTAGGGCATTTTCTTAGTTAGTGATTGGTGGGGGAGGCCCAGTCCATTGTGGGTGGTGCCATTCTTGGAATGGTGGTCCTGGGTTCTATAAGAAAGCAGGCTGAGCAAGCCAGTAAACAGCTCTCCTCCATGGTCTCTGCATCAGCTCCTGCCTCCAGGTTCCTGCCCTGTCTTGAGTTCCTGTCCTGATGTACTTTGGTGATGGCCTACAGTGTGGAAGTGGAAACCAAATAAACCCTTTCCTTCCCAAGTTGCTTTGGTTATGCATTTCATCACAGCAATAATAACCCTGACTAGGGCAGGGCCTGTGTTACTTTTCACAAGTACTTGAAGAACCAGACAGAGATTCTCTGCCTGGAAATAACCACAGTATGTACGGAAGAACACATCTTTTTGTGGATAATTTAATACTCTGGGGCTGCACTGAGGCCCAGGGCTGCTCTTTGATGTCACCTGTTGGGAGATGCACTTGGCTTTCCTGACTCTGGTCTGAGCTCTGCCCACAAGGCTACTTCTGTGTGCTGGTTGAGGTGGTTGTTCAGGAGTTTTCCTGGGGGGGGGTCAATATATTGTCCCTTGGATACGTACATAGAGCTGTTTGTGATACGTTGTGACATATGTCAAGTTTGTTAAAATCCAGAATTAATTCCCAAGGAAGGACCAAAGATAGCTGTTTTTCTTTCCACACAAAATAAGGAAATACAAGTGCATGAGGTGAAGGACCGGGTGCGTGTCTAAGCTTAGGTTCGTTTTCCTCTGTGGTTGCCTCCCCTCCAGAACTGTGCCTCCAGCTCAGCTTCTTCCACCTCTCTGTCCCCACCCCGCCGGCTGCCTCCCCTTGCCCACCCCTCTCCAGGCTTTAGCAGTTGCTTTTGCCTGTTTGTCAGGAGGCACCCATGTTTGTATCTGTAGTTCCTGTGGGTGCTGCATCTGTGTCCACTTTCCAGTTGCTAGTGAGATGTGTCAGCTCTGGAGAAAGTTCAAAGTCTACCTGGGCTTCGTTGTGAGTTCCCAGGCCGCCTAGGCTACATAGGCAAGGACATGTTTGCTGCTTTTTTTTTTTTCACACACACAAAAAAATGTTAACAATAATAGCAATTGCTAACGGACCATCCTCCACCCAGTGTCAGCCTCACTGCCCAGGACTACATCCCCAACTCCAGTTTCTGTCAGCGTGTGTCTCTTTCCTGTCAGCTCCACAAGCCAACAGGTCCTACCTAACCTAGCCTCACTAACTACAGTTGCCCTCTGATCAAATAAGACATGTTACAGGTGTGAAAACCCAGAAGTGTTCCTTGGTGGTGTTGTAATTTAAGAAAAGCAGCTCAGGAGAGAAAGACGCCACGTGACAGGGTTCAAGCAGAGGGGCTTTTTATTAGGAAAAGGGGTCATAAAAAGGGCAGGGCAAGGGCATCCTGGAGTTCGGCCTCCATAGACAGGAGCAGCACGAGAGAGAGGAAAGAGGGGCAAAAGGGGGGGGCACAGACAGAGAGGAAAAGAAAGAAGGAGAGAGAGAATGATGGAAGATAGGCAGGGTGCTTTTCAAAGGGAACACAGTGAATGCTCACAGATGGTGCTCTTAGTGGCTGCAGCTGAGGGTGTATCCTGTCTGAACCCCAAGGACAGGTCAGTACAGATGGCCGAATACTAACAGTCGGCCCAGTGCAGACTTTGACATGTGCCCATTAGAACCTGCATCTCAAATCTTTAAAAAACATGTACTGGAGCTGAGAAATGGCTCAGCAGTTAGGAGCACTGGCTGTCTTTGCAGATGACTGAACTGTGTTCCTAGCACTCACTTGGCAGCTTACAATTGTCTATGACTCCAATTCCAGGGATCCCATGCCCTTTTCTAGCCTCTCTGGGGTGGGGATGAGGTACTCACATAATACATAAATAGACATGCTGGCAAACACTCAAACACAAAAATAATTTTTCAGCCAATACAGATGGCACAGGCCTTAATCCCAGCACTCAGGTAGCAGAGGCAGGCGGATCTCTGTGAGTTCAAGGATAGCATTGTTTATACATTGAGTTCCATGACAGCCAAGGATAGAGAGGCCCTGTCTCAAAAAAGTAAAATAGTAATATAAATTTTAAAAAATAGATAAGAAATTCAAAACGCACTGCTGTGAAATGCATGAGTGTGCCTGTGCACAAAGCAGTGTGATACATTTTGACCAGCGTACCCTTGTCACCAACATCGACGTCAACCGGAATCCTCCCTGTACTGCTTTGGGTCACCATCCCCTTAACCACACAGCAGCTGCCGGGCAGCCTGGCTTCTGACAGCTCTGGTTGACTCTGTCAGCTTCTCTTTCACCGTGACTTAACCACCTGAGCCTTCTGGCTGGCCCTGCTAAGGCTCACCTAGTGACTGGACCTTCTTTGACGCCCCAGAGAGTCAGGAAAAGGTGGGGACGGGCATCCACAGCACAGGGGCCAGCCTCTGAACAGGCGATGCTCCATTTCCTAAGCCTTCTCCTGTCCCTGATTTTCAGACCATCTCCATTTTTGAGGAGCGAGCGCACATCCTTTACATGTCCCTGGAGAAGCTCAGGTTCATCGATGACCCCGAGGTGTACCTGCGGAGATCTGTCCTCATCAACAACCTGATGAAGAGGATCCATGGGGAGATTCTCATGCAGAGCAGCTGGTGCCTCCCTGCCTGTTCCCTCAGTGGCGCCTCTGCCCAAGAGTGGTTCCTGGCTCAAGACTGCCCGTACCGCAAACGGCCCCGGGTGGCCAAAGAGGAGTGGGAAAAGCTCCACACGTGCTGTTTTTACCAGGAGTGTGGTGGTCACTGCCTGAATCTGCCCCTTTCTGTCAGTGCTGGCGTTGGAAGCCACGCAGCCACTGCCACACCCCCCTCCTCCTCCTCTCCCTCCCCCTCCTCCTCCTCCCTCTCCTCCCCCTCCTCTGCCTCCTCCTCCTCTTCCCCTCTGCCATTGCCTAGTTGCTCCCACCATGTGGACTTTGATGTAGGCAGCACACCTATTTACAAGAGCGATGGCCAGATACCGGCCAATGAAATTTTTGTCACTAGTATTAGGTCCCTTGGTGTCCAGGAAAAGGTCAAATTCAACGGTGGGAAAGTAAGTCATGACACCAGCAGAGACAGTGACGGCCAAGAACCTCTGGGAAATGACCTTGATTTTGAGTGCAAAAGCCAATTTTATGATTATTTTGAGACTGGATATAATGAGAAAAACCACATGAGTGAGTCTTGGAAAAAGTCTTTGAGGAAAAAGGAACTTTCCCCAAGCAATAAACTGTGCTGCGGCAAAGGGAGTAAGATGTGACTGTCTCCCACCGCACGCAAAGCGCGAGCAGCATGAGCGGTTTTCATTTTGAATGGATTTTGTAGTTTTGTACAACTGGTAAAATTATGCAGTGAACACGCCGCGTTGTTTCGCTGCCTGGAGAGTAGATTGCACAGAACATCTGTATAAGAGGCATCCACAAGCCAATTATTAATGTGATTTTGCCAAGGAAAGCCAACTTCGTGTTTGAAAGTATATCTTAGTTTTCTTTTAAAAAAATATCTGTAGATTAGGTTGAGGACATCATGCCCTTGTTATATTCCCACTGCCCCTCCAAGGAGCCCGCCGCTTAGCCAAGTTCAACATGTTTGCCAGTTAATTAGGTAGTTATTTGGTAAACAATATAACCAGCAGAGATATCTGCATCTTCAATATGGTACAGTATTTCTTTCTGAGTAGAAGACTGGAGGCAGGAAGATAGGTGAGATGGTTTTGTGAGTTGTGACATGTTTGTGTTGGACAGAATGAGACAGACAGCAGCACTTCTGGAGGGGCAGCAATTCGGGAATTGTGGAGACTGTGCCCTTCGAGCCCCTGGCTTGACTGTGATGGGTAATGGATGACTGGGGAGGGTGTACAGGGCCGTCTTTATGGGGTGAGTAGGGAGGGGTGTACAGGGCAGTCTTTGTGGGGTGACTGGGGAGGTGATTACAGGGCGGTCTTGATGGGATGACAAGGAAAGTGGTGTACAGGGCGATCTTGGGTGCCTTACTTTATCTTAATTTTTGCCAGTGTGAAAATTAAGGATAAATCAGAGTTACAGCAGGGATTTAACAAATAGGAAAAAAACACACAGGGTGGATCCATGCGGTTTGGAAACTTAACTTTGAACTATTGTGTTCAACTTTTGATTCACCATCTTCTTCTTCCTTTGTTTTTGACGCCTAGTGGCTGTGGTTCTGACATTTTTTGGGTGGAGATGGAGGAGACAATAGGGAAGGTCCTTAGGAACAGAGAAGGCTGCCTGGGCTTTTCCATGGCAACGCACCGTTGTTGGGTCTGGGCTTTCTGAGCTTTGAATTGTCTTGTTTTCTTGTCCAGTGACGTTCACAGCCCGTGGCATGCGTTATACACGTTATACTTTGACCTGTTTTGCATCATTCCATACGTTTAGACTCCTAAGAGCATGTGGTTTCTATATATGACTTTTGCTGTTGATTGAGAAGCACAATGTTAATAGATGACGACGTGGTAATCAATACATTTTATCTTCAAGAATGTAAAGATTGTAGGTTTTGGAACGTTATTTTGGAGAAATGGGACTTGCTCATCATTGTAACTGTGTATTTGGCCGACGCACTACTCAAACAATACCTTGAATTTGCACATGGCCGAGTGTCCTCGGCACTCTGGCCCAGTCCAGCCAGCTCCTCCTCCTCATAAAATGTGTTCCCATTTCCAAGGCCAAGGGTTGGCCTAGTTGACTTGGGCCTTTTAAAACGACTATTCACAGGAACCAAATGCCAAATGGAGGCTATAGGTAAGTTCTCCCACTTTCTCCAAGATGAAGCTTTTTAAATTATTGCTATTAATATTAAATAGGTCTCATTCATACAGTGTATGAGTAGATCATTTGGGAAATTGTCCGCAAGGACCAATTTTTAAAACATGTTCCTGTGTTATAGCTGAATAGTCTAGTAATGTTTTGTCCTTTATTTTCAATATTTGATGAACATTTTGGTGTTGAAATTTTAGGTGATAGATGCTAGTACATGACCGTGTTGTAATAAAGTGAGGTTTTCTTGATATATATTTATTAAAATGATCAAAAAATCATTAAGTTTTTTTTTTTTTTACAAATTTTATTTTAATGGCTATTTCTGTTTTCCATGTTTCTCTCTATTTAAGACAGAACAAAATCTTCAAAATGTCTAGAGATAGTGCATGGTGACCACACAGGTGTTTAAATAGTAAACCTGGTTAGAATGAGCCCAGTCCTGAGCCGTAGGTGATGGCTTCCGCAACACTTCAGATTATGAAGATAAGGTGTGTAGAATCGGTTTTAACAGCCAGAGAATCGACAGTGGTTTCCCCTTCAATCCTGCATCCATGTTTCTTAGAAGCTAATGTTTTATTTGATAAAGGGGGAGGTCGAGTTGAAGGCAAATTAATTTGTCAAACATATCAACCGTATTGTAAGTGCAGTGCTGTGCAGAGATTTAAATATGAAAGAATGGGTTTGCCCCTTTGCTTTTTAACCCCGGCATTTCCAGACAGTGTGATGGTCTGGGTGTGACTGTCCTGTGTTATTTGAGGGGTTAGCCCAGGATGACTCAGGCCCTCACCCTCACCTCAGGCCTCTGCTTCCCAAGGGTTGGGATCTGCTCCAACTCTTTTTTATGTGGACAAAGCCTTTGAGTTGGCAGTGTCTGAGGGTGCCCTCACCTGAACAGGCCCTTCTCAGCAGAGTCTCTCCTTCACAGCATAAGACTCAGTTACTGTCAGTCTTCTGGGTTTTGTTTTAGGACACTTATAAAATAATAAAAGAAACTTTTTTCTAAAACAAACAACAAAAACAAAAGGCCCTAATCAGACATCTAGATTACAGAAATTCCCTGTGGTCGGTGTGAGTGTGTAAGCGATTCCTCTGTGGCTTGAATCTACCCAGGCAGCACTGGTTAGATCACCCCGGTGGCTGGTGGCCGAGGTGAGTGAACCCCTTAACTGGGTTCTTTCTGAAGCTGGATGCAGTTCCACATACCTTTACACCCAGAACTGGGGAGGTGGGAGACAGGAGGATCCCTGGAATTTTTTTGTGAGTGTCCTAGCCTAATCAGTGAACTTGGAGTCACTGACAGACTCAGCGCCCCCCCAAAAGAAAAACAAGGGGACAGCTCCTGAAGCACAACCCTTGAGGTTTTCCTCTGGCCTCCAAACAACCACCCACCCATGTGTGCATGTGCACACACATGAACACAGGCATGAAAGTACAAAAAAAGATTCATTGAAGAAACTAACCAACCAAATAACCAAAGTGGTCCTGGGCTGTTGAGTCAGAAGAGCACTTGCCCAGCCTGCACACAGCCCTGGGTTCAGTACCCATCATTGCACAACAGCATGGCCCACGAGATGGTAGACACCAGAGGGTGAGAGGTACAACTGCATGGCAAGTATGAAACCAGCCTGGGATACTTAAGACCTGGTGTAAAAAACAGAAAAAGAAAAAATTCCTGCTCCCCAACATTGCCCCCAAAAAACTTCTGCTTCCTGTTTGTAGCCCAGTCATTCCTGTCCCTTCCTTCCCAACAGAAGGTAGTTGTAGAAGATGATACCACAAAGGCACTGTCTGCCCCAACTCTTTATTTTTTTAGGTAGGGAACTCTATGCAGACAGGCTGGCCTCAAACTCATAGAGATCCTCCTGCCTCTGCCTCCCAAGTGCTGGGATTAAAGGTGTGCGCCACCACCAGCAGCTGCCCCCGCTCTTAAAAACGTGTTACCTGCACTACACCTTGAAATGGTCTTGGGCATAGGATGCTGGGGTAGGGAACAAGGAGGCTGATGAGAAAGATTAAAACCACTAGAAGTCACCGTTTAATAATCTGTTGTAATTAGCAAAGCATCTTTGATGTGATCTTTCAAGTCAATAAGACTTACAAGGTTCTACATGCTACTCTGTCTCACAAGTGTTCGAGCATGCAAATGAAGGTGTCTGTTTCCGCAGTGGTGGGTATCAGAAGCCACACAGGAAGCAGACTCCCTCAGAGCGTGGCTACTACCTCTCCAGTCAGAACATGTAGCACCTACAGCTGCACCAATTACTTCCTTTCTGAGAATCAGAGCAGAGAGCTGGAAGGAGACCCGGGCACTAGGAATTGCCTATGTCAACAAGGGTGGCAGGCTTCTTCCACTGCAGTTTGGTGTCTGTATCCCTCATGCAACTGAGATCGGATGAGGAAATGAGTTGTTCAAACCCATGTCTATGACAGGTCCTTAAATGAACTTGTAGTTAAGGTTACCACATCTCTGCCGATCTTGCTAGGCCTTTGCAAAGTGTAATGATGGCTTCTCTGTCCCACGGAACAATCCAGCAAAGAACAATGAATTCAGTGTCAGGTAGAAAAAAAGCTACGATGTATGACTTTAGGTAGCCTCTTTTAAGATTTCTGTGCTTGTGTTGTGTGTGTGTGTGTGTGTGTGTGTGTGTGTGTGTGTGTGTACACAACATGTGTGTGCAGGTCACACACACACGGGAATTTACAGGGCCACCTAAGGTCGTATCATTCCAGTTACTCTCCATTTTATCTTTTGAGATAGGGCCTGTTACAACTAGAAGCTCAGTGATTTGGTTAGATTGGCTAGCCCACGAGCCCCAGGGCTCCTCCTGTCTCTGCCTCCCCACTGCTGGGATTACAGGCATGTGTTGTCATGCCTTGTTGTTATATGGGTGCTAAAGACAAAGCTCTGGTTCTTAACGTTTTGCAGCAAGCACTTTACTGACTGAGCCATCATCTTAGATGCTCTCACTTTTGAGCTGGTGTCTCTCTGAACCTGAGCTTTCCATTTCAGCTAGACTGGCCACCAGCAAGCCCTGGGGGCTCCTGTCTACACTGTATCCAAGCACTGGCATTGCAGGTAGGCACCACACCTGGCTTTTGACATGGGAGCCGGGTAACCCTAACTAAACCCTAATGCTTGTACAGTGAGCCTTTCCGTCTCTCTCCAGCCCCATTGCTGTGATCTGATTCTGCGGTTTACAACAAATGCATTTGGGATCTTGTAATTTACTACCAGGCACCAGCTGTTGCTTTCTGGCACCTTGTGAGCAAGGTGTATTCTCTTCTCATTACTACAATCTCACTGTTTGCAATGGTGTGCTCCATGGCCTGGGGTGGAACTGTTTAGAAACTGCTTGTGTATTGGTGGGAGAACTCACTTAGGAAACATACTTGCAAAGATGAAGTTATGAGCACTTGAGTCTCACATCCTGCCATGAAGTGCATCAGCAAGTGAGTTTAATAAAACATGCTGTCTAAAATA